CCCTAATACAACATGTTTTTAGAGCATAATAAAAGAAAGATATGTTGTTATTATTAACTCGGAGATAGTGATATTTAGTTTGCCAACATTTGTGTTTGGGTGTGGGTGTGCTTGCTTGCAAGCAGGCTACTCTGTAATGTGAAAATCAGGTCTTGTGGGATTGGTTTTTTCCTTCCAGGAATTAAACTTGGGTTGTCAGGCAGCCTTGCATGGTTGCGTGACAGGCACCTTGTCTTGGTTAGGGTTTCTATTGCTGTGAAAAGATACCATGACCACAGCAACTCTTATAAGGGAAAATATTTAATTGGGGCTGGCTTGCAGTTCAGAGGTTAGGTTTAAAATCATCACAGTGGGAAACATGGCAGCATGCAGGCAGACATGGTGCTAGAGAGGGAGCTGAGAGTTCTATATTTTTATTTTTATTTTTTATTTTTTTTTTGGCTTTTCGAGATGAGAGTTCTATATCTTGATCAGCAGGCATCAGGGTAGAGCTGACTTGAGCTTCAAATTGCCCCCAACAATGTAACACTTCCTCCAGCAAGGCCAAACCTATTCCTACAAGGTCACAGCTCCTAATAATGCCACTCCCAATGGGCTACACAAGCATTCAAACACATAAGTCTGTGGGGGCCGTTCCTATTCAAACCATTATACACCTTTACTCTGAGCCATTTTGCTCAGCCCTTTGTCAACACTTTCGAATGTCATTTCAAATACTACAGGCTAAAGCCTTGTATTTAATTCCATCTAATAAGTCTCACAATGGAAAGCACAGTTTTAATAAAAGCATTAAAGCTATTATAATAAGTTTTGGGTTGTCTTGAATCTTTAAAACAGATTGTTATTTAGCTGACCTATATAAGGAGGACAGTTCTGGGGGGTAAACTGTTCATCCTGTTCCTGCTCCTGCTTCAACTATAGATGATATTCAGAGTTTTTACTTAAGGATCATCTTTGAAAGCTATGCTATACATTAAGACCCTGTCTCCAAAAAAAAGTTTATTTTGTTGTTGTTTGCTTCCATATTTGTAAAAAGTAGCCAAATTGCAGAAGTGCCCTGTACTTTACTCATGTATTGCATATACATATACACATTGGTGCTGGCATAGTGTATACATTATAAAACAAGGATAGAAAACATTTATAAAGGGGGAAAGTGAACAGAAGTGTTACTGTTTCTTCCTTCCCAGAGTCTGCTAAACTTCTTGGCACTGCATACTCATAAGCAGTAGGTCATGGAACAAGAACCATGTCAGTGGAAATAGGGAGAGGACATGGCAAGTGTTTGTGGGCAGGCTTTGGAATTGGTTAAGAAATAAGAGTAGAAAGGAAGGGATGTCAAAGTTTTGTGTTCTAGTTGTACAACTTATTAGATAATGCTGGTTGAAAGTTAAAAGATACTCTATTCATAAACTAAACACATTACCACCATAGAATGTCTTGTTTTTTTTCTGAGTAGTTACTGGACATCTTTAAATGACAAAGGGCAGGAAGGCATGACAGGTAATTTAATGGACAGGTCTTGATCTATGCTTAGGAAGAGCTAGGAAATGAATGCTGAGGCACAGGGTAGTATTACCTTAGAACAGTAGGATATGACAGGATTGGTAAATTATAGACCCTTGAGCTTCTAGTTGATTTGACTCTTAAAAGTTTCCTCAGGCAGAAACAATCTGTGGTCCCTTGGCTAAAAATAAAGGATTAACAAAGCATGGTGGACTGAGGGGCTGTACAGTGTAGTAATGGTCTGCAGTTTATCTATGGTTAGCAGTCTTTTCTTTTTTAAATGATAAAATACATTTGAAGCCATAAATTGAAGGAGGATTACCTAACAAAGGAGGAAGATGCCAAATACATAATGCACTGCTCTAGATTAAATAAAGAAACGAGGGGTCTAGATGATGTTGGGTTTGTTTTTTTATATGTATTTATAGCTACACAGTGCTCCATTTCTTGAGATAAATGAAGATTTTCTTTCATTAAGCATATTTGTTTCAAAATAAAATTTGAAATAATACTTTGAAAGAGTTTTTAAAATGCAACCTTACTGTGCCCATTGCTTTGAATAAGTTTATTGTTTGTAATTGTCATGTTTCTCTACAGTACCCTGCAATTTGGAACATGGTTGTTGCTGCTTTAGGGCTTAAATATTTTTAATTAAAATGTAAATTGCATCATTTCCCCCTTTTCTCCCTTCTGACCTTTGCTTCCCCCTTCTGTGCTCCAACTCTTCTCAAATTCATGACCCCACCCCCTTTTTAAGCTTTGGATGTCCTAGAACTTGCTCTGTAGACAAGTCTGCCCTCAGAGACCCTCCTGCCTCTGCCTCCTGAGTGCTGGGATTAAAGGTGTACATCACCACATAAATATATAAATATATAAATACAGCCTGTTGTCTGTTTTACAAACTTATTTTTTTAATGTGGATAGCTATCATTGCAGTACCTGCCTCCAGGCTATTTTAAGTCCTCTCTTCTCTTTCAGATACCTCAGCCTTAGAACAAACACAACCATCTTTGCTTTGACTCCTTGGTTGTGAAGGGCTTTACTATAATGGTCAGGATTGTGAGTACTCTTCCTTTGAATGCTAACATTGGGCTCATTCTGTCACTCAGTGACCAGCTACCCAGAAAGGCAAATCAAATTCAAACCAGTCTTTAAGCAAACATTATCTCATTTAACCTTTAGAAATAAAAAAAAAAAAAATTCAGAGATGGACAATGCTCCTCTTACAAATTACCTGGAGATGAATAATACCTAATAATAGAAACCATGACTTTTTTTAAAGTACAAATGCTCTAGAGGTCTGCTGTAGTAATTGTGACACGGATAAAAGCTGAGAAGTCTGTCGTTTTCTACCACTGATGACCTGTTTTTGTTTTAAGTCAAATGATAAAGAGTAGTAACAGCTGCGGGCAAAGCCTTAGGGTGATTGTTTTGCAAATTACATTAAGAGACAAACATCTGCAACAAGACCAAAGGCCGAAGTAGTTATCAAGGATGTTATATTACTTCTAGAAATATAATAAAGATGTTAATTTTTACATTCTTGATTCCCTTGGCCCTAACTAAGCTTCTGTAGTATGGCTTTCTTTAAAAGTAGTAGTAATTTTTATAGATAAGTGCTAGTATTAAATAATACTAGCATTACTAATACTGAACTTACCTGTATAATCAGTCTTCTCATATTGAGTAAAGAAAGAGTTAATAGCATCAACGGTAAGCAGGAAGCTGCTAGCCTTAGCATATGATGGAATGAATAATTTACTATCTTTAGGAAATGCAAACTGCAATAGAACGCAAGCAACCCTGTCAGAAAGTAAATCAATGTTTAACTTGATAACAGAAATAAAAGTCACCAGAAAGAAGATACTTAAGGATGACACGTGCAGGACACTGCTTAGTAGTTCAATTGTGAGAGAGATTGTGAGTTCTTGGGTGCAAAGGGTTAGTCTCCTGCAGTGAAAACAGTGCCTGCATTCTGACGATTGTCAGGTGACTTTCTGCTGAAATGATTGCTCATGGGATGGGGCAGCTGCTTTGCTGTCAGAAGCAAGATACTTTCTCAGGGTATTCATGTAAGTTCTTTTAATTGTCCTTGTATGTTTTCCTGTTTGATATGGATTAACGGAACTAAAGGGTAAATCCCGATAACTAGGTGGATTCACTAATAAAGGTTTTGTGGAAGTAGCATTTATAAACACCAGTAAGACATATTTTTATAAAGGAGTTTAAATTTAAAATCTAACTATCATAATTTTTCTGCAATGTTTATCTCCTTTGCATGATCTCATTAGCTTGTTGAGCTCGCCTTTGAGTGCCTGTGGTCATATTACTGCTCTAAGTATTGTGCATGTATCTTTGGTGATAGATGGGTGGGTGAAAATACTTAGCAAAGTTGTCCCTATCAATTTATTTTACTTGTGTTTTAAATATCTTCTGTATTAATACTTTAAGATTTAATTGGATTAGGTTGTCTCTTACCAAAAATGATGAAAAAATTTTATTTATGACTTTATCTTATTAAGATATAAGCCTTTGAATATAAATTGGTTTGGTTCTGATTTTACTAAAACTTTTTACTTGGTAGGCATTATCTTAAAGAATATACTTTTAGATAAATCTAATGTCTTGTTTGCTTTAATATGGTCTTCCTTAAACCAACATGTATTTGAGCCATTGTTTTCTTAGTACCCATAAGAAAAGAAAATCTTTTCCTTGCTGAAAAGGGTTTTCTGAAAAATTATTGATGTACCTTTTGCATGTTATTAATAGTAAGAAAAAAAATTTTCTCATCCAAGTTTTGAGTATTACCTTGATTTTGGATTTCTCTTTTCAAAAATTACCAGTTTCTCTTTGAGTTTTTCTTCTTAAAAAGAATTTATTTCATTGATAAACTAAAGTTTATATAAATCATGTAGGATAAATGGCTGGTTGTTGTAGCCATACAAAATTTTTACGAATTCATTTTGTCAAGTATGTTGTCATAGATAGGGAAAAATAGTAGTAAAGTGTGTCTCTGTAAACCTTGTTGGTTATAGTTAAATACAAAACAGTCTCTTATCAGTGCATATGTTTTATATATATATATATCTGGCTTTTTATTTACAGCTTTTGTATTTTTTCCCAGCTGGTATAAATGAGCAATCTTAGTTAAATGCATCTTAAGTATTTCCCCTGAACTTTTTCCAAATACAGTTCTCCTAAATGGGAGGGTAGACCTCATGAAATTAATTCTACTGGTCATGTATCGTAACTTTATATACTTCATTTTCACTAACGTTTAAAAAAATGCAGTCTTAAAATGCAGATTGCATTCTTTGATTGTATAACTAGGAAATATTTAAGCTATAAAATCAAAAGTTTCCAGAATGAGGATCTAGATAGGACGCATGTATAAATACATTCTGAACATTTCAAAGCACCTTTTAGTTCATGTGAAGTTCTTCAGATGGCTCTATTGTCCTTCGAAGCTTCTAACACCAAGGTGTCTGTTGCAGCGCAGAGCAAGGTTACTGCTACCCAGGACAGCACTAATTTGCGATGTATTTTCTGTGGTAAGCAACATTATGTTTACATTACTTTTTCAAGTTGTGGTACTTACTACTTGCACATATCCATAACTTTTGTTTCTTTAGGCCATAGTCTGGTTTGTGGTATTTGAGATAAGAAGCAAACTTCTGCTTTATGTTGTGATAGTTGTTGTGTTCATGTAGGCTGTTTTGGTTTAGCTTTTGAGTTGGCTTATTCATGAGGATTTAACTAGAAATAGAATCTGAAAATTTTTTTTACCTCTTCTAATATAAATGAGAGAATTTTTTTAATTAACAATTTTCTTTGGGAACAGACATCCGATCTAATTTAGAAGAAAAATATGACTTGAGTAATGTAAATGTGCCTCATTGGGAAGGAGCTCTATTTACCTTGACTTAATTCTAGATGTGCATGTTGTAAAGGCAGATGGAGGCTTACTCTTTGAATGGATTGGTTTCAGAGGATAGCATGCTTATTTGGTAGCCTAGGTTTCTGTGCCTTAGAAGTGAATTTAGGCTTATAGATTGTTTTCTGTCATGCTCACTCTAATAAATATACATGAGTGTATATACATGTATTATTTGTATGAATAAGTTAGGTATATCACTTAGCCACTCCATGTTAGAGCTGATCAATCATTTATATATATATATATATATATATATATATATATATATATATATATATGTACATATTGCAGGGAAATTTTTTTACAAAGGTTAGTATGTAGATACATATTATTTGAATTCTTCTCTTTCCTGTTTGATTCTGAAACTTCCTATTTTGAAACCCCAAATTTCAAAATAAAGTCTTTCTTAATTATTTTAATTTTTTTGATTCATATATGCCTTTTTGACTCATACCTTGACTAGACTATTTTGTGAGAGAAAATTTGTATGCTACAAAAAAGTTTGAATTAATAGTTCAACTAGCATGTGTACTTTTTCCATGTAACTCAGAATTTTTAGTGTGGTTTCTCAGTCAGTATTGTTGATATGGTTTCTGGTTTTTAAGTTGATATTCTTACTGGATTAGATAAGCATGTTATAATAAGAACAAAACAGATTCTACTATATTTCATGGTCACCTAAGTTACATTTTGATCTGTTCCAGCTGATGGTTACAGCAGTGAGAACCTATTTTTTATGCCTTGTTATAAATCTCTCCTCCTCTCCCCTAGACTCTAATTCAACACTGCAGATTGCTTAGTATCAGTAATCTTATCTCTAGTCTTGTCTTATCCTGGGATTCTCCTGGGCCTCTAGGAGCAATCATCGATACTTGTGTGATTAGACCTTTCTTTAGCTCAGTTTGAAAATGTACTTGATATTGTAACTTTGTGCTTTTAAGGTTGAGATCCACATGTAGAATGATAGCTTACCCAGTTTTTAAGGAGAAAGAATAATTTGACCATATTAATAAAGGGGAATTTTTAAAACATAAAATAACAGGTTAAAACACAGATTTCCTTTTTAATGACCTTTTATTTTTATACAATCTTCCAAATGATTGCTAAATTTAACTGTATTGTATATACTAGCACCTACTTGTCTTTTAGTTCTGTGCTTTTAAATAGTCTGTGGCTAATTGTTACCTAGATTTGTAAGAATTAAAATGAGGAGAGTAAATGAAATGTGCTTTAACCAAAACTCAGTATTGAAGGGAAGACTGAAATGCCATTCTAACTGGAGAGAAGTTCACATCACATTTCCATAATTTATAGAATACTTATCAACAACATCACTACATTGTCTTTATTAGGAACAGTAATTCACAAACTTGGCTTGGCACTGTCTAGCCTGGGCAGATTAGGACCAGCCATTGTTTAGTTATCAGGCAGACCCTCAGGCAGAGGACTAGAGCAGCATCACCCATTTCTGCACCTTGGTTCTTTCTCCTTTTTTTTTTTTTCCTTCTTCACAGAGATAACTGATAACCTATAAACCATGCATGTTAAAATACTGTCATTTACCCATTAAGATGGTTATGAAAATACCTGATTTGTATTTTATGAGATGATGAGATACTTAGTTTGAAATATGGCCCGTTTGAAAAAATAGTATACATTCTAGAAAATACAGCTACTGATACCCTTGCCTAACCTTAGTTTCTGCTTTCTGTTGTTTTATAATACCTTTGATACAACTCACCAATTTAATATCCCATTAAAATCTTTGGGAAGAAGGAAAATGTAATTGTGTACCTATAGTTTATAATTTACCCAGAATTTTATCCAATAATTATCTGTAATTGCATATATATTTCAGTATGCAGGGTTTTTATAATTTGACAATATTGATGAAGAAGAAAAAACAAGCAGATTAAATGTAGCTGTCACAAAATTCCAAAGAGGGATTTTAAGAATGCCCAGATAAACAAATGGCTTGTGCAATCATATAGCTATGTGCAAAGAATTATGAGAGTTAGTTCTTAGATCAAAATCCTCATTTTAAAGGATTCCTTGAAGTTTTTAATTTTTATATAGTAGGAATAAACTATAGTGAATGTCCATATTCAGTTTGTTTCATGAGTCATATTAGGATTCTTAGGGGATTTTTGGTAGTTTTGATCTGTTGAGAGTATGTTAAGTATATATAATCCATGGTGACTCTGACCTCAAAATTCTCCTGTGGTTGCCTCCCAAATGCTGAGATTACAGGCATACACTACCATACTGGGCCCAGAGCCCATTAAAAACAAACAGAATTGTAAGTAAGAGCAATAAGATTAAATTGAAACTTTAATATCTTTAACTTGAATATATAGATTTCAGCTAAAAATATAGATTTAATTCATTAAGATCATTGAGATACAGCGCCTTCTCTAGATGTGAGCATGACAGTTAGATCACTGACTTTCAGCTGTTCCATTATTTATACTGGCCAGGATTTTCATTTACACACTCAGACATTATTTTTTAAACTAAGCCATAATGATCTTTTAAGTTGGTTTTACCAGGTGCTTTCATTCTATAGTTTTAAAATAAATATAAGTTTAGATATATACATTTTTCCTCCCAATTTTATAGGTTCTTAAATTTATCCTCCCAACTCACATGTCTTTCTTCCTTCTTCTAAAAGGATCTTTTCTCTATAAAATAGTAAACATTAATCTGTAGCCCAACATGGCAGTGTTTTTCAAAACGTTATTGTGTTAATTTTCCAAACATTCTGTTAGACAAGTTATTTTATTTATGTAAACATTTATATGTGTGTTTGCTTTTAAAACCTGTTTTTGTTTTTTCTTATTAATTACATGGGATTGATTTTATATTTTTTATTTGGTTCTCAAAGTATCAGGCATATATCTAATGAAATATATTGCTGCAGTTGTCATCTAATTTGTCATTAGAGGGCAAATTAAATGACTAACCTAAAAGCATGTAAAGAGATGAAAAGTTAAGTAGGTAAGTTCAGATCATTTTCCTGCTTTTCCATACTGGGAGGGGCCAGTGCTGTTACATCCTGATGAGCCTTTGCTTCCAGCTGTGGGTCTGCTCCACTAGGGGAATAGCCGCTTTCATGATCTCCACTCAGAGCACAGTAGCATGTTCTAGTACACACAGCACTGATTTACTTACTTTCTATAGTAGTGCTCTACAGAACTCTAAGAAGTCAGAGATAACACTTCTCAGAGGGTGGAAGGAAACTGTCTTGACTTTCTTGCTTTTACTGTTATAGATTTCACCTCTGATTGGTCATCTCATTATATATTATACTAAGTGCAACAAGTATTTCACTTAATTTTTATATCCTGTGACAATAAGATTTCCCATAATTTAGTGACAGTCTAAGATGCTAAATATGGGTCTGCTTTATATATGGATGTTGGGAATGGATGGTCAGTGGTTTCTCATGACAGTTCCATGTTTATGTAAACACAGGGTCTCCCTCCAACCCTCTGCCTTTCTTGCCTCAAAAGAAAAGTTGTTAAGATTACCTATAACATTAAAAATTCAGCTGAGTAGGTTAATACAGTATATGAAGCTTAGGAAATGTTTGTTTCACCAGTACTGGAAATGCCATGTCATTAAACAAAAATGGCAGCTCAAGTGGGCAAGTTTGATAAATGCATTAGCATACTTCAGTCTAGTAATGAGGTTCTCATGCTCTCTCTCTCCTGTTTTTCATTTCCAGTGTTCTATTTAGGTGAGTTCCTAAATTCTGATTTTTCATTTAAGTTTTTCCTCTCCACCTCATGAATAATTGCCCCAAACAAAATGTCTCATTGTCTTAGAAAATGTCGAGCTCAGGTGCCTATTCAGATGCTCATCGACCACTTGTTTTACTCCAGCTCTTCACGTGTCAATGTTTCTTTTTCCTTTACTGTTGGTGTTTCCATTTGTTTGAAGTAAGCCTTCTGGAGATGATGACAGCATTGTGTTGCAGTTTTTCATTTGCTGTGTGTTATGTAAAGCTTATATTTTATTTTGCTAGATGAAAAGAAGATGCATTTTTTAATGTGATGGTTTTATGTTGTTCTCATGGTTTAATTTCTGCCACCCAGCTTAGTAAAACAGTAATATTTATCTGTAATGTTTCCTCCCTTTATAGGGCCAACATTACCTAGACAAAATTCACAGCTACCTGCTCAAGTTCAAAATGGCCCATCCCAAGAAGAGTTGGAAATCCAGAGAAGGTAAACCCCTACATTTACACTTTCTGGCTTTGTAGCAGACCCAAAGGACCTGACAACACATTATGTCCTTTAGTTCTTTGAAACTGTGACTTTCATTCTTTCTGCTGTTTTTGTAAAAAGCATACTTGTGATACGTCTAAAACTATATAAAAAAGACTTAGGGTCTGTTCCCTTCAGTAAGCCTTTTTCATTTTTCAATATCACTGTGTGTCCTACGTACACCTGTATGTACCCATGCATGTAGAAGTTAGGGGACAGCATTACTGTCTTCATTTGCTTTCCATGCTATTTTTTGAAGCAGTCTTTGACTGAACCTGGAGCTTGCTGATTCTGCTAGAGCACATGACTGTAGAGCTCCAGGGATCCTTAGCCCCATTGCTGGGATTATGGGCGCACGCCATTCCTAGATCTTTTTCCCACGTGTGCTGAGGATGGAATGGAAGGCCTACTGCTTGCATAGGAAGCACTTCACCTGCTGAGCCGTCTCCCAGCCCCATTAAGTCTTATTTTATAGTAAATATCTCTGATATTTCACATGACCAATTTAACTAGAAAGTCAAAGTGTTAGCTAAGTAAATCTTTAAGGCTCTGATCTCAAGATTTTATAGGGTTTAGTAGGAGAATACAAGATTATCTGTTTATGGCTAATGTTGGTTAAACAAAATTAGGAGCAATATCTCCATCATTTCAGTACAGTCTAGAGGTAGACTTGAAATTATAAGTTTCATCCTTTCTCTGCCTTTTAGTTAAAATCAAGCACATAATACCTCATTTAGGGGTGGGTTTTTCTTAATTAGTTACAAGCATAGGCATGCACACATGCATGCATGTATCTCTTACCATTTCAATATGGACTATGACATCATTAAGAGAGTTTACCTGGGGTTGGAGATGACTCAGTGGTTAAGAGCACATAGCATCTGAAAGCTGTCTGTAACTTCAGTTCTTGGGGGCTGGAGGGTTCAGTGCTCTTGTATGCTCCCTGCAAGCACTGTACACATAAGATGCACAGACATACATGCAGGCAAAACACCCATCCATACACATAAAATAAAAATGAATAGTTCTGCCGGGTGGTGGTGGTGCATGCCTTTAATCCCAGCACTTGGGAGGCAGAGGCAGGAGGATTTCTGAGTTCGAGGCCAGTTTGGTCTACAGAGTGAGTTCCAGGACAGCCAGGACTACACAGAGAAACCCTGTCTCGAAAAAAAAAAAAAAAAAAAAACAAACCAAACAAACAAAAAAAGAAGTTCTTTTTTAGAAAGACAGTTTGCCCTGGGCAGTGATTGCCCAAGCCTTTAATTTCAGCACTTGGGAGGCAGGGGCAGGCAGATCTCGTATTCAAGGCCAACCTGGTCTACAGAATGAGTTCTGGGACAGCCAGGGCTACAGAGAGAAACACTGTCTTGAAAAAATAATAAATAGGGGGCTGGAGAGATGACTTAGCAGTTAAGAGCACAGACTGTTCTTCCAGAGGATCCGGGTTCAAATCCCAGCACCCACATGGCAGTTTACAACAATCTGTAATTCAAGTTCCAATGGATATGACACTGTCATACAGACATACATGGAGGCAGAATACCAATGTAAATAAAATTTAAAAAATTTTTAAAGTACAGATGTTAGCAAAATTTACGTTCTAATTTTCTTACCAAAATTTAGTGTTTATCTTATACTTAAAACATACTTCTTTTCTAAATAACCACATTTCTTGTCCTTAATGGCCATATATGGAAGACACTAGCATAAACTTCTTCTAATGAAGATATAAATTTATATCTCCAAAATCCTTTCCTTTTTGTACTTACACATTGTCCATATTAGTCTGTGCTGTGAGGAAGCCCAGTTTAAACTGTCTTCTCAGCCAGGGACAGTGGCACAGAACTGTAGTATCAGCACTTAGATGCTAGAGATAAGGGTTCCAGATTCAAGGCTGAAGGAAGTATATTTTGATATCTCATTTATATGTTTGTATTTAAACATAAGCACATATTTGTACTAACTTAAGTGTGGGCCAGTGCCTTTAGTATCTGTTTATTTTGAAACCCTGTCTAAAAAAATAGTTTCCTTTCTATGCAGCTTAATAGGAAGCTATTAAATGTTCTGTTCTGTTAAAATGAGGGAAAAAATCAAGAGCTGTGTAACATTGTTGGGATCCAAGAAAAGTGGAATTAAACTTGAAAGAAAGAAGGTCGTACATAGTTTGGGAACAGCCTGTTTGCCTGAGTCAGGAAGCCCATGGGCCCCTGATGGGTTTGTCTGAAGGAAACAGGAGTAAGGAACCTGAGCATTTGACATGTTTAACCATACAAAGAGGGTTGTGTGCAGTTCTGTTGGAGAGCTTGGAGTGATGCAGGGGTACATACGTAGGGTTGACATGGGGAAAAAGAAGAGGGGGAAAGCCAAGGAAAGTATTAGTGTTTAACATATGAATAGGACATTTTCTTGGAAAATAGCTGATGGATGAGCAAGGAATGAAATGCTGCATCAATATTGCTGGAAAAAGGAGAAGAAAAAACGGGAGGTATCCAGAGTAGGAGTGGCCAGGGACTAGAGTATAGCTCAGGGATAGCTCATGGAGGCCCCAGGTTGACTTCCCATTGCTGACCACTCAGATCATGGGGATTAAATCATTTTTTGAGTAGAAAAAGAATATCATCTAAATATGAGAAGTCAGGAATAGATATTTGTAAAGAAATTGCTGTTCAGAACCATGAAATAAATGCAAGAATGTTAAAACTCAGTTGCTTCTGTAGGCAGAAAACAGGAGTCACGGGCATTGGTAAGATGCTATATAATACTCTGACTTTTAAAGTAGGCATGGCTTTTATACGTTTACTTTTTATTTTAGTCAGTATAAAGTTGTTTGATATTTTAAATATTAAACTTTGCTGACCTAATACCTTTATTATACCACAATACAATTTTCTACATTTTGTGTGTGTGTGTCATTCATCAAATCAGTTTCTGGTTCCTACTCAAATTATTAATATTTGGCTTCCTTGACCCTGATGGAAAAGTATATTCTAAGAAACATGAGTCAGTCCTGCGTTCATCTCAACATAGAAGATAGTTTAGTTAACATCTATAAATAGCTTTCAAATCATCACTACTACCTGCAAGTTATAAAGGGGGAATAAGAACCCCGGCACAGAACTGAGGACCTGGAGTAATGAAAGTGTACAGCAATCCCATTATCCTCCAGAGGCAAGATGGGCCAAGAGTTGATCGCATTCTGGTGTAAGTATTGGCTCTTGTCTTAGGAGCTTTGTGGTATTAAAATTCAACTATCTTTTTTTTTTTAACTAATAGAGAGATGAAATGCCCACATAGTGCAACAAAAAGTGTGTGTCTACACCAGCTATAGTAGTATACACCTTTAATCCCAGCACTTGGGACACAGAAACTGGTGAGTCTCTGTGAGTTCAAAGCCAGCTGGGGCTTCATAGTGAGACCCTGTCTCAGAAAAGTTAATCTAAAAAATTAATTTTTACTTTCTGGCATATCAGCATTGCTTGGTGTTAGCAGCCAGAATGCTTTTCCTGGTTTGTTCTCCCACTTTGTTTTATGAAATTGAAATCTATATTTACCTAAAAACTGTAAAGGTGAATAAAATATATCTTGACGTTTTATTTATATTTTACATGTTTTACAGGACTGTGTCTTCATAAAATCATAAACTAAACCTGTGTTTGTAATTTTTTTGTGCGACAGTTTTTTTTTTGTTGTGGTGGTGATTTTTGGGTTTTCTTATTTTGTTTTTGTTTTCTGGGGGGAGGGCTTGTTTTTTCTTTTATCTGTTTACATTTGGGGGTTGATATTTTGAAGAAAAATAGTTCAATGATAGAAGAGGATAGTCTTTTATGTTCTTACTCAATAAATTTAACATACTTTAATGGCTATAATAGTATTCACTTATGTTTGTTTCTGGAAAAGGTATGTAATTGTTTTCTCTGAAGAACATTCAAATTATTGAAAATGTGTATCTAACTTAAGGAAAATAAACCTATTGGAATTTTCTCACAGCTCAGAATTCAGAGACGCATGCTTTAGTAAAATCTGGAGATGATTCTAACAGGCAGACAACAACCAGATGTAAACAACCTCTAGAGAAGGGTTTCTTGCATTTCCTGTATGCAAGCTGGTAGTGATCCTCAGGAAAGCAAGGTCTATAATTTTGGCGACTCTTTAAAAAGATTTGGGGGCTGGGCGGTGGTGTCACACGCCTTTAATCCCAGCACTTGGGAGACAGAGGCAGGCGGATTTCTGAGTTCGAGGCCAGCCTGGTCTACAGAGTGAGTTCCAGGACAGCCAGGGCTACACAGAGAAACCCTGTCTTGAAAAGACCAAAAAAAAAGATTTGGGAATGTCTAATTTTGTAGCTTAAAACGTTAGAGTCAGATTTGTAAGCCTTCCAATTTAAGTAAGAATTATTCATGCCACCGCAAAGTTGTAAGTCAGAAAATTTCTACTCAACAGTGTTTTCAATTACATATACGTAGACATATTTTCAATGAGCAGGCTAAAAGTATTCATTACTTTATTCAAACGTCAGTCTCTTGAAAGTATCAACTACATACTTGAGTTATCTATCAGCAAACTTGGAAATACTCTTTGGCGTCGTGCTTTTTTCCTTTCCAGTACACATTCTGTCTTTTCTTGACTGGGAGCCTTTTATATTATTTTGACATGCAGGACAGTATTCTAAAGTCAGTACATTCTAGTTATAAATGTCATTATTTCAATACTGCTTCCAGTCTCGTTTGTACCTATCTTACCTATAATGACTACCAAAAGTTACTTATTCTTGTGTTTTGAGAAATAGATATAACAGCTTCCTCCCCCTCCTCTTCTTCCTCTTCTTCCTCCTCTTCCTCTTCTTCCTCTTCTTCTTCCTCCTCCTCCTCTTCCACCTCCCCTTCCTCATCCTTTAAATTCCCAGCAATTAGAAAGGAATGCAATGCAGTCAGAATACCATGTAGCTCAGCTGTGGATAGTGATTATATAATGTTAGTGTAACCCTGGCTGTTGCTTTTTATATATATAGTGAGCATGGTTATGGGAGGCTTTTGCCATCAGACAATGGATACCCAAAGTTAAGATACAAGAATCAGCTAAAATAGGAAATAGATGGGTATGAGTGAAAAGAGACACAGAAGAACAAAAATGTGAATCCCCTTGCCCCCAAATAGTAGTGGGCCCTTTTCCTTTTCATCTGTGTAGGTGTTTTGCCTGAAGGCCAGAAGTGGGTGTTGGATCTTCTAAAACTGGAGTTACAGACCATTGTGGAACACTGTGCAGGCACTGGGAATCAAACCCAGGTCCTTTGTAGAGCAGCCAGTACTTTTTGGGGGTTGTTCGTTTGTTTGTTTGGGGGGGTTGTTTGGTTGGTTTGGTTTAGTTTTTTGTTTGTCTGTTTGGTTGGTTTTTTGGTTTGTTTGTTTTGGGTCTTTTTTTGTTTGGTTGGTTTTTTGGTTGTTTTGGGTCTTTTGGGGTTTTTTGTTTTTGTTTTTGAAGATGGGGTTTTCTTGCATAACCTTGTCTATCCTGGAACTCACTCTGTAGATCAAGTTGGCCTCAAATTTAGAGATTTACCTGGCTTTGTCTCCCAAGTGCTGTGACACATACACATTTGTATGTGTGTGTGTGTATGTGTGTGTGTATATATGTATGTATGTATGTGTATATATATCTCAGGAAATATCCTGACTGTAGTTTCTTTCTCCCTCCCCTCCTCCCAGGCTCTCCTTCCCACCTCCCATCTTCCCAAGAGCCACTCCCCAATTCCCATCAGAAAAGAGCAGGCTTCCCAGGGACATTAAGCAAACAGCATAACCAGCTACAGTAAGACCAGGCACATGATGTCACACCAGGCACATGCCATCACACCAGACACACACAGTTACATCAGGCACATGCCGTCACACCAGACAGGCAGCATTCACCACGGAGCTATAGCCCAAGCACTTAAAGACCTAAAATTTCAATACAAACTTCAGTTGAGTTTCTTTATTAAATGTATATTATTGGGTGTGGGTTCTGTCTTTTTTCTTAATTTAAAATTTCTTATCTAATGTCTTTTCAGCATAATCACACTGGTAGCTATCCCTCAAAGCTGTGGTAGCTCATAAATTATCAAATAGTATAGTAAATATACCAAATAGTATAGAAAGTGTGATTTCATTAGTCAATTTCTTAACTGCTTAAAAGAAGTAGTAGGTTCCTTCCTGACAGCCATTGAGTACCGGGACATTGTGTAGAAAAAGGGTAGAGAGATTTAAGATTTAAGATTGTTTAGAGAGAGATAAGTAAACAGTTGATTTGAAGGCTGGGCTTTTTCCTTTGTTTTATAGCCAACTTAGATGGGTGGAAGTTCTTTTTCCAATATGTTATTTTATTTTATTTTATTTTATTGTATTGTATTTTATTTTGGTACTTCTGGGAGAAACAAAAGGAAGCAGACTTGTTCTTTTATGTAAGTCACTTATGTCTTACCAGAGCCCAGCTAGATGATTAGTCTAGAAAAGGTTCCAATTCTAAATTTTTCTAAATGATCATTAATACAACAGTACATTTATGCAGTACTATACATTTTAAAGAGCTTTTATTGTATTATCTTCTTTAATATTAGCTAAATGCTGTTAAACATGTATAAGGAGAGATAACTGCTTTTTAGTTAATTTCCTCAAATAATCGAGAACCATATATTAAGAATCTTAAGAATTATGTGATCCTATAAGAATTTAATATTAGCTAAATGCTGTTAAACATGTATAAGGATGCCGGGCAGTGGTGGCGCACACCTTTAATCCCAGCACTTGGGAGGCAGAGGCAGGCGGATTTCTGAGTTCGAGGCCAGCCTGGTCTACAGAGTGAGTTCCAGGACAGCCAGGGCTACACAGAGAAACCCTGTCTCGAAAAACCAAAAACAAACAAACAAACAAACAAAAAACAATGTATAAGGAGAGATAACTGCTTTTTAGATAATTTCCTCAAATAATCGAGAACCATATATTCAGAATCTTAAGAATTATGCTTCTTATCCTATAGGAAGCAGTTTGAAGAGCTTTCAAGGGTTAAGATAAATGTTTATTTTAATAATAATAATAATATTAGGGTAAATTATATTCTATACTGAAGACTGCTTAAGCTCAAGAGCTAAGCAGTGGTATTTAAATGTTCATGGGTATTAAAGATGCCAGACTAAGGGTTTAAGGTAAGTTTTCCAGTGTGTATCGTATCTGAAAAAGCATATTTTAGAGTCATTGTGAAATGGTACTGATTTACTTGAATTTTAAAGTTTATGCATATGTTATTATAAGGCCAAGGTCTACACATATGTACCAAGTAACTAAAGTTAACTATAGATGCAAAATTTTAGTGATTTATAGTTTATTTCTTACTTAACTGTGTTTATTTTCAATTCAGCAAATGTTTATTTAGCTGTAGCTATGATCATTGTGTTTTCTGAAATAACTCGTGCAGCTCAAATGTTTCATTTTTAAGAAAAAGATTACTTCATTTTGTAATTTTTTAATCTCTCGATTAATATAATGATTTGGTCATTAAAGTGGTAGGCTTGTTTGCGACTCTCTATTCTCACAAATTGTGTTGATTGAGCCCATATGAAGAGTTTATTAGTCCCACTGGGATAAAATACAATTTTTAAAATATTCTGTATATACAGATTTTATATATCTATAAGGAAGCCTTCACAGGGAAGTAGTGACAGCGGGTTGTACATCTATCTGAATCAGACATAAAGTGAACATCCACTCACTTTAGTGATCTGTAGCCATAAATGCATATTTTTATTCGTCCAATGTTTAATTTCAGGCAACTGCAAGAACAGCAGCGACAGAAGGAACTGGAGAGGGAAAGAATGGAGAGGGAAAGGTTAGAGAGAGAACGACTAGAACGAGAGAGGCTAGAGAGAGAGCGCCTGGAACAAGAGCAGCTGGAGCGACAGCGGCAGGAAAGAGAACACATGGAGCGCCTGGAACGGGAGAGGCTGGAGCGCTTGGAGAGAGAGAGGCAAGACCGAGAGCGAGAGCGAGAGCGCCTGGAGCAGCTGGAGCGCGAGCAAGTGGAGTGGGAGAGAGAGCGCAGAATGTCCAATGCTGGTAAGGAGTCTGCAGACGCATGCGTCTCCTACAGCTGAGCTGGGCCAGGCTCTTGCGCAGTTGTCAACGGTGATAGTTCACATGTGCAGCGCTTGGGAATAAGCAGTACAGTTTGTAGTTAGGAGAAATGCTCAACAATTATTGCTTCAGTGTTTCTTTTATTGCTTAGAAACTAAAAGAAAGCTCTTGGGAACTTTTAGTCTGACGTTTTAATTTTTCTTGGTGCCCTAAAATTCAGCTATAAAGTGTGAACGTGTTTTTATGCAAAGATTTTTTTATAATGCTCTTGGAAGATATTTCCCTTGTGCCGTTGCTTAAAATTATCACATACTTTATTATTATGCTACGTACAGCAAGAAGTTAGATTTCTAGAGGAAAAATTAAAATAGATGAAAATATTCTCTCAAAACATAACTGGTTATTTAAATATTTTCTGGTATGATAAAAAAAATCACAGTTTGATGGAATTTATAGTATCATAGAGGATTATGATATAGTAAGCATTTAAGGTGATTAATATTTATCAAAGAATTTTATTCTTGAGCTACCATCAGAAGCCAGTGTGGGTTCAGTATTGGTTAATTCATTATTCTTAACTGCATAACTGTCTGGAGTTACTGCTAAGGAGATAGAAATGTCCACAAATAAGCACTGAGTTGGGCGTTCTTTTCCCGCTTTAGTAAACATTTTGCCAAGTTTGAAACAACTCAGTTTATTCTGCTGTTTGTAATAATTTTGATGCTGTTTTTAGTGAACTAAGTAATTAATGTTAAGACTGTTACTATCCTTATAGAGGATAAATTATTAATACACATATTTAAGAGAACTTATTTCATCATCTTTCGGGTTTCAAAATGTGCTTACAAGTTAAGTTTTCTCCAGTGGAGACAGTTATCTGCCTAATTCTCTGGTGCTAACTGTAATCCATGTTTATACATTTTGTCTGATTGCTGGTTTTTGTGGCTTCACTAGCTCCCTTTTTCTCTCTCCTTTTTTATCCTGTCTTTTGCCGCTGCTTTCCACCTTATGTCCAGCTCCATCTTCAGACAGCTCCCTGTATAATGCTCCACTTCCTGAGTATTCCAGTTGCCAGCCTCCTTCAGCACCTCCTCCATCATACGCTAAAGTCATCTCAGCTCCGGTGTCAGACGCCACTCCTGATTATGCTGTAGTGACTGCTTTGCCACCTAATTCCACACCCCCTACACCACCACTGCGACACTCTGCGACACGTTTTGCAACATCTCTAGGTTCAGCCTTCCACCCTGTTCTTCCCCATTATGCTACAGTTCCTCGTCCTCTGAACAAAAACTCTCGACCTTCTTCTCCTGTGAACACACCCTCTTCTCAGCCTGCAGCTTCGAAGTCCTGTGCCTGGCCTACTTCCAATTTCTCACCCCTCCCTCCATCTCCTCCAATAATGATTAGCAGCCCCCCTGGCAAAGCTACTGGCCCACGGCCTGTCCTTCCTGTTTGTGTCTCCTCTCCTATGCCCCAAATGCCTCCATCACCAACAGCACCCAATGGGTTGCTAGACTCTGTAACATACCCAGTGTCTCCACCGCCTACCTCAGGGCCAGCAGCGCCACCTCCGCCGCCACCGCCGCCGCCGCCTCCACCACCACCACCACCACCGCCACCGCCGCCGCTGCCTCCCCTCGCCTCACTCTCACACTGTGGATCACAGGCTTCTCCTCCTCCAGGCACCCCTCTTGCCTCAACTCCCTCATCCAAGCCCAGTGTTCTCCCTTCTCCCTCTGCAGCTGCCCCTGCCTCTGTGGAGACCCCTCTAAATCCTGAGCTGGGAGACTCCTCTGCTTCCGAGCCAGGCTTGCAGGCAGCCTCTCAGCCGACCGAGACGCCAGCCCCACAGGGTAAGGCTTCACTACTGCTGCTGACTGCTGGTTATTCAGAGTAGTGCATAGCAACAGCTTTGACTGCCAGAAGAATGGATCCGATGGTTTTAGTAATTGAGCATCTCTATGCCGAAGTACTATCTGGGTTTTATTTAGAAAATTAAAATGAAGGATTTTTTTTAAAAATCCTGGGCCCTAGTTATATATAGGGATTTAGTATGGGAGATGTCCAAATTAACTTAGATTTTTAGATTGTTTGCATTAAATATTGTATTGTAGAAGGTGCTTTCTAATATTTAAGGACCCCAATACTTCTACATTCATTTTAAACTTCATTAGGAGAACTTGACTGTTTCATCCTCCGTGGGGTAAATATGAGATACGTTCCTAGAGACGTGGAGATCTATTTAATAGATAAATCATCCCTGAGTTTTCCCTGGAGCACTTCTGCCCTGAAACCCCTTTTTCATTTTGGCGTATCCTGTATTGAGCTCTCTGTATCAGACCTTTAGAGTGAGTAGCCTCAGGCCCTTTGCAGAAGGTAGAGGTTGCCAGGCTTAGTGTATCCCCCAGAGGATTCTATTGCAAGTGTTGGTTTGAAGGCAAACAGAAGACCCTTGAAGGTTTTCTGCAGACACAAGCCATGAGGCTGGGCAGCAGGGAAGGGGCCATGTAACATTAAGTATAGCCTATGTACGTGAAGATGAAAGAAGTTCTGTAAGAAAGAAGGTACATGGAACCCTTTTTGTTTTTAAGAATAGGATGTAGAGAGGATGCTGAAAACAGATCCATGCTTATAGAAACAATGTTATAATCTGGATTTAAACACACCTCTTGTTAAAAATGAATTTTTTGCTGCTGTCTTACTAATTTTTATAAAAGGTGAATAAAATTCTAGTATGTGCAATTCAGTATCTCTCTGATTGACATCTGGACAAGAGGCGCCACCAGGCTGAAAGGGCTAAATGTCCTCCTGCTGGTGCTCAGAACTCTGCAGGATGGGACAGGTCATCTCATTCCTTCATTGCTCTGTGTGTATGCCTGGTCAAGCCTCAGAAGTGACAGCCACTACCCAGAATGCAAACTCACTCTAGCTCAACGTTTTAGCTTTACAAAAACAAAAACTAGCCCTGTTAAGCCTTAAGTAAATACTTACTAATTTGGTGTTTTGGTTTTAAGTTCTTTACTCTGTGATTTTTTTTTAAATATTTAAATACTTCCTATATACCTATCTTGAGGGCTAAAATAGATTCATATTTAAATTCTTAATTCTCAGTTAGTTTGAGGTTTTACCCGATATCAGTTCATCTTATTTCTTTAGTAATTCTTAACTTGGGCTACATGTAGATTCATCTTAAGATGCCGAAACCTGAGACTCCCTTCTCTGCGGTTTTCATCTTGTCCGTCTGTCATCAGAGACCTTCATCATCGTAGTCAAGTACATTGTCTCAACATCTAAGGCTTAGGGTTATCGTGGGCCTGTTATCTCAGGCAGTACTAACTCTCTCTCTCTCTCTGTGTGTGTGTGTGTGTGTAAAACACTGCATAATTTTCTAAATTTGTACAAACATTTGCCTTCAAATCCCTGGGTGGGGATCATTAGTTTTATTACAAAAAGTTTAATATTAAATGGTTGTATGTGCACTTTGGCTTTCAATTCTAATATCTTTAGTTAAAAACTAATGATAAATTATTTTCTTAAACACAGTGTCTGAGGATAGCATTCTGTATGTCTGCTCATGTAAACTACAGTGACTTAGCTCTGTTGCTGATAACTCTTAACTTCTTTCTCTCAGGCCTTGTCTTGGGATCACCTGCACCTCCACCACCACCCCCCCTCCCATCAGGCCCTGCCTATGCCTCAGCACTTCCTCCTCCCCCTGGACCTCCTCCACCACCTCCACTGCCATCCACCGGGCCTCCTCCACCACCTCCACCACCCCCTCTTCCTAATCAAGTTCCTCCCCCTCCTCCCCCACCTCCCGCCCCTCCCCTCCCCGCATCTGGAATTTTCTCTGGATCCACATCAGAAGACAATCGCCCTTTAACTGGACTTGCAGCTGCGATTGCAGGAGCAAAACTTAGGAAAGTGTCTCGGGTAAATTACCAGTTACTGACCTTTTAATGTGTACTCCTTGTGTCTAAACTAGTGAGATTACTGTGTTGTGCTGCTATGAACACCACATTTAACTTGATTGATTAAAACCAACATAATTTAAAATTTGAGAAATGGTGTAGTGTGAGGAGTTTCTGAGACCCCATCAACCCGAGGCTTATTAGTCAACATTTGACTAACATTTGTCTTTTGTTTTCTTGTGTATATGTCCTATACTACACCTCAGTGTAAATTTGGAGGGAGTAGCTAATGATTTTTACGCCATGTTTTTTTCTAGTTCAAGATCATTTGTTAAATTTAGCTGTAATGTTTGTTTTAATCAGTGACAGTTGCTCAGTTTCTATTACCTTTAAAAACACCGACAGTTTTTCTTTTTTAATCTTTCAGTTTGGTTTATCACATTTTCCCCTTAATATTGGATTTGAATTATATGTTTGGGTTGAGGAAAAACCATGAGAAGGATTTTGTCTTTCTCAGTGTATCGTATGGAGAGATAATGCTCTTTCACCCCATTAGTGGTGATTGTAACTTTGATAGGATTCTCAGTGATATATGAAGTCCATGTTATTTGCTCTATTGGTTCTTCAAATTTAAACAATAGTACTGTTTTGCAATCAATACCAACGTGTTCTTCTGTGTTGAATATGTTGATAAACATTACTATCTACATAGGAAATTACTATGTGTGTGTGTTCTCATTAAGGTGGAGGATGGCTGTTTCCCAAGTGGAGGGAATACTGTGAGTGTGAACTTGGCCTCATCCAAAGCAGATGCTGGTCGTGGGAATGGACCCCTTCCTCTAGGAGGTAGTGGCTTAATGGAAGAAATGAGTGCCCTGCTGGCCAGGAGGTAATAAATTTTATGTAATGGGTATGTCCAGAACCAGACAGATTTTGACAATTTTGTCCTCTTCCCTTTTAGAACAAGAGTAAATAGATGATAGCCAAAGGTAGGTAGGTGATACAAAAGTTTTTAATTAATTTGCCTTTGCAGGAGAAGAATTGCTGAGAAGGGATCAACAATAGAAACAGAACAAAAGGAAGACAGAAGTGTGAGTGAATTTAAAATCTCTCTCGTAAGAGGTGGAACTCAAGCCCAGCTTATTCAGAAACTCATGTGAAGATTACTTAATCTGAACTTAACGTTTGATCTTATATTTTCTTATTTTATTACTATACAAACATTAAAAATGGCTTGAGTGTTATGTATAAAATTGTAATCTCATTCTTAGTGAATTGAGTTGAATATGGGGAGATGTGGGGAAAGTTGAATTTCAAACCTATAAAGTTAATTTGTTCTTATACTCACCTTTAAGGGAGTGGATGAATTCTTAGAAATTTTCTAATAATGTTGGGTTTTTTCAATTTCTTTGTGCTATGTGAGGTTAAAGAATTATATTAAGTCAACAGTTTATACATTACCCTTATGGACCCTGTGCTCATTAGCTATGCCCCCTAGGAGTATACTCTTCATGCTTGCTCCACATTTCAGCTGGGTAAACTTCATCTGTTCTCTGTGTTGTCATTGAACACAAGGGTGTAGTGGTTCTCTGCGCCATGGCCTCCTCCTATAGCGTTGCTCAGACACATCCAGTCAGGTTTCTAGGCTACTAGGACAGGTGCTTAGAGCTTAGTGCTTTGGGAAGGCAGCAGGGAGAAGCCTGAGGGGAAGGTGAGAGAAGGAAGCAGGAGAAGACAGAGTGTAAGGAAGAGACAGGTGGTGGGAGGGGAGTGGCAGAGAGGACATGGGAAGAGAGCCCGGAAACCTAGCCGCAGAGAGCTGTGCTTTCTAGTGAATGTGATGTTAATGTGACTCTTTCTATATATCTAGGAAGATGCAGAGCCTGTAACTTCTAAGGCCCCATCAACAAGTACACCTGGTAAGTTCAGGAGAAAACTATCCCTAAGTGCTAATTTTCTCTAAACAGCCCCCTTTCCTGTGTTTGGATCAAGTGACTGCTTGCTCACTAAAATGTTAAAGTGCTTTGTGTATACTTGAAAGCACTGACCTTTCATCTACCTTTGGTGATCTCATAAATCAATACTTTTCTTCCTGACACTGAAATCTGTTAAAACCTAGCACTTTTGTTCATGCTGTCTAGGCAGATACCATAATATGAGAGAGAGTGTGTGTGTGTGTGTGTGTGTGTGTGTGTGTGTCTTCTTTGTGTTAATGGACTTGAGAATATTCATTATAGGGAGCTATTTTAAACAGTTCTTAAAAGTAGAAAATGAAGTGAGCATGTTAGGTAGCATTACAGTGTATTTCAAAACTGTCTCAATTGAAGAAGCTAACACTCCCTTTCTGTGCAGCCATTGACTACTTGTAGCTCTTTGTCTAAGGGTTGGGCTACATGGAATTTTCTGTGTCTGTGTTGGCATATTAGCTGGAGTCATCACTGTGCTGGTCTTATTCAAGCAACCGTGTTATTGTGATTTCATGGGTACAGCTTCCCTGTCATGTCTAGGGGATGCTCTCTTGTAAATGTAACATTTATTTGCCAGATGTAATTGTTGTCTCAGAAGGTTACTGCTGAGTAAGTTCACCCTTCCTAATTCTTTCTGAACTCTGGCTAGCTGGTTCAACTCAGCTGTTCTGGCTCAAAACTTCTGTCCAAGTTAACTGATTCAGACTGGCTTCTTTTGGCTTCTTACCGAACCACTCTTCTTGGCCTCAAACTATCTCTGGCAATTTGTTCTAATATTCTGGCTTCTTCTCATTCTCTAGCTCATTCTGTCTTTACCTACAACCTGTCTCTGCAAAACTGTCCCGATAAAACTGAACCCCCGCCGTCTCTCTGTCTGTCTGTCTATCTATCTATCTATCTATCTATCTATCTATCTATGTATCTGCACTGCTTTCCTAAGTCTCCTTTCTTTCCTATGCTATTCTTGTGAGATGTGGATGTATCCTATCTCTGACTGAAGACAGCAACAGTGTATTCACATATATAAAATAAATAAAAATTCAGTGGTTTGTAATCCCCATATAAAATCAGGACCTCATTCAAAAAGATTCAGAGGTTCTTTTGTTTGTTTGTTTGTTTGTTTCATTCAATTCTTAAAATTGACATTGTGTAAAGCATTTAATGAGCCAAAAATGAGGAAAGTATTAAAAACCCTTGAGCACAAAAACTCATGAGATGTTAACTGGGAATGACCTGTCGAATCTGGGCTGTCCTTGGAGAAATGGTGTTGCACTATGCATTGTAGAGTATTTGGCTTGGCTGAAGCTAGGAAGTGAGCATGTCTTGAGCAGAGGTGTGGTGTTAAAGCTGAGTAAGAAGAAACTAAGAAATAATAAGTTGACTTAACCTGTCTAGAACTTGCATTTGAGGATTCTTGGGAAAATGAGTTGAAACAAATGTTAGGAGACTGTTACGAAGTGACCAGTAGTAGATTTAGGCTTTATCTTACAAACATTCTCGTTAACATATAAGTCATCTGAAACTTTGGGAGCACTTTAAAATGGCCCTTGTTGGCTTTGTAATGTGGAACTGGGGAAGACTGGGAGGGAAAACAGTTGGGAAATCTGCTTGAACCAGTGTGTTTTCAAACTGCTTACAGGTAACCAAGCCTCTAAACTAGTCCTGTAGTATAGCTGTGCTCCTCAGAGAAGAGACATCCTATGCCCTGCTTCCACAGGGCTGAGTAACTCTTCCTCACAACCAGAGGGCCCTTTAAGATAAACAAAGAGATTAATAGCTTCTCCCTAATCGAGAAAGGACCTCAATCCTCTGTTAAAGTGCTTTGTACCACATCTACCAATTTGTTAACTATTGACACCCTTCTGTCTACATCATCTCTGATAACAGTGTCTCAGTGGTCCCGCCCATACCCTCCTGCTATCTTTCCCGTCCCCTATTACTTAGGTTACTGTGGTGGTTGTATTTTTTTATTCTGACCATCTTAAACCTGCTCTGTTTTTTGTTTGTTTTTGATGTTTTCTTGCTAGCTCTGGAACCTGCCATTCCTATGTTCACTGACAGAATGCCTTAGCTATTCCAACAAAAAAGGAAAACAAAATGATGATAAAGTACAGGAGGATCAGTGGCAGCCTCACGGCTCTCCCCTCAGGTGCCTAGCAGTAGCAATTTAGGGCCCGAAATGGCTTCAGAGGAGGTTAGATTTAGTTTTGCATGTGTTTTGAAGAGACTATAAACCTCCTCCTGAGTGAAATTGTGCAGAAGCCACATGAGGGGAGACATTAGAAGATGAAACAAACTTACTTATATAAAACTATACAGCGACATTTTGTGACCTGAATATAGACTTGATTTGAATGGGACTCAAATGCTATTCCCCTGTGAAAAAGATTCACTTTTGATTTTCTCAAGTTATCCAGTCAGGTCAATGATACATAGCATCAGTGAATCAACCAAACTAGAAAATCACAGTATAAAGCACCCTAGATAGCACATCACTAGACAGTGTCTCCTAAGTCCTGAGAATTGACTGATTTTTGACATTTATTTGGAGCTGTTTTCTCCAAGAGAGCAGTTTGGACTTCTGTGAGCCGTTGAACAGAAACACATCACAGATTATATTTTTATTTACTGTTGGCACAAAAAAGTTTAATACATTCGAATTTATTAGAATCTAGTATAAACTATACTAATTTTATCATGCTTGTTATCATTATAGAACTGTAATACTTAGATTTTATAATATACAGGTTTTTTAAGGAAACTACTAATTTCTTTTTTCTATCCCCCCGCCCCCGGCTTTCTGTTGTTGTTTGGGGATTTTGTTTTTGTGTAGCCTTAGGTGTCCTAGAGCTCACTCTGTAGACCAGGCTAGCCTCAAAAACTCAGAGATCCACCTGCCTCTGCCTCCTGAGTTCTAGGTTTAAAGGTGTGCACCATCACCATCTAGCTTTGTTTTGATTTTTTTTATTTTTTATTTTTTTAGACAAAGTCTTGACTGCCTTGATATGAAGACCATGCTAGCCGCACACTCATAGAGCTCTGCCTTTCGCATTTCTGCTTCAAGTTCTACAATAATACAATTTAGAATCCTCACTGTTTAGAGTTTTTTGTTTTTCAGTTTTTGTTTTGTTTTTTGGTACTACCACTGTGTACATAGAGTGATGGTACTTTAATGTGTTGTTTTGTAATGATTCTGGAAGGTTCTGAGACTTGCCTAATCACACTAGTTTCTTATTTTTGAAGAACCAACCAGAAAACCTTGGGAGAGAACAAACACAATGAACGGCAGTAAGTCACCTGTCATCTCCAGGTATTGACTTTCTTTTCTATATTTTATGTTACACGTGTGTCTAAAAAGAAGCTAACACAGGTTGTACAGAGAACAAGAGCACCTTATCCATAGATTGAACAGCTAATGAGATCGAGATGTTTTTGCTACTCCTGCTTATCTGATAAATTTCAAGGATACATTTGTTAATCACATTGACTGATTGATATTTTAGGATAGTTTCATCACTTCTAATTTATTTTTTAAAATTCAAATTAAAAGGAAAAACAGTGCACCAAATATTAAAATACACCTATTACTGAGACTTCACAAGTAGTTATATGTCTTATGGCTTTGCATCTATATATTTTTTTCTCTTACTGGTTTGAAAGAAACTTGCAAGTAAATGGTGTTTTGCCCTAAATACTTTTTGACAATTCCCAAAGAACCAAGGACATCTCTGACATAACCAGAGTAGAATTACTGCCCCTCAGTAATTTAATACTGAACAATAATGAAAATCTGATAAAGTATTGAACAGTGATGCCCCTAAATTAGTCCCTACATAGTTTTAAAAATTGAATATTAGAAGAAATCTTTATCCTTTATGTTGAAAATTAGCTAGATATTATAGAGAATGCAAGAGAGCAAAAATAAATTTGCTGTATCTTAGACAAATCTTCTAAGTGTGGACTAGAGAAATGGCTTAGTGGTTGTTCCACCAGATTCAGGTTCAATTCCTAGCATCCATATGGCAGCTAACAACCATTTGTAATTCCAGTTCCTGGAGGATCAAATGCTGTTTACTGGTCTATGAAGACACTGTGTACCCATGCAGGCAAAACACTCATTTGCATATTATTTAAAAAAAATAATTGCCAGGCAGTGGTGGCGCACGCCTTTAATCCCAACACTTGGGAGACAGAGGCAGGCAGATTTCTGAATTCGAGGCCAGCCTGGTCTACAGAGTGAGTCCCAGGATAGCCAGGGCTATACAGAGAAACTCTGTCTCGAAAAACCAAAAAATATAAATAAATAAATAAATAAATAAATAAATAAATAAATAAAATAAATAATCAATTAATCTAGATGTGGTGGTACACACTTCTTACTCCTAGCATTCATGAGACAGGCAAGTAGATGCCCAACCTAGACTATATAAGTGAGCCCTGTTTCAAAAAATTAAGTCAATTGATAATTAATAAAATATCCAAAAATATTTAAAACCAACATTTCTAATCACAGTCAAGTTAGAAAAGGTAGACTTTCTGACTAGGTAGTCAAGAGACTGTGTCTCAAAAAAATACAGAGAGCAGCTGAGAAAAACCCCTGTTGTCAACCTCTGGCCTACACACACACACACACACACACACACACACACACACACACACACACACACAC